AGTATCCTCGGTGGGATTCGAACCCACGCATGGAGGTCGTGTACAATGTGTACGTGCACGCTCTACCAGCTGAGCTACGAAGCCACACTGATGGCACTGATCTTTCCACATTCGAATTTGCCCATCGAACCTACAGAGGCATATTGTAGCGAGAAGGCGAGCTGGCTCAGAAAAACGTCTATTGATCCAATTAAAAAACAAACGGTGTATGCGTTCGATTATATACAATCAATTCTCAATCGCGCGGCGAGATGATTCATGCCTCTTTCTGTGGATCATTCCTTGTTGGTTTTGGTCCTCACTTGGCACGTGCGTTGCCTCCTCTTCCGCGTGCCAATCCGACTGGTTTGACCCGATCGCGGCACGAGATGCGCTGATCGACAGCTCCGACGTTGTGGCNCCCGTTAGCTGCGGATTGTAATTGTCGATTCGCTCCTTTCGGGTGGCAGTCAACATTGTATCGCGAGGCACTTCCCGTCACTGCGTCTGCGCGTCTGGTCGGATGAGCGCCATTCTTGATTCGGTTACTCGCCAGGACTCTCTTTTTACCGCCTTCCATCACAATGTGACATCCACCAATTAGCATATAAGCTGACTGCTCCGACAGCTTTTCCTTAGAATTCACCGAAGTTCACCGAATGAGCTTCTAAGACAGAGATAATTGTTCAAATTATTGTTTGGCAGAATTGAAGTTTATATGTCGAGCCTACTGAACTTTTCATAATCGACATGCAAACTTTAAATCAGCCAAACAACAATTTGAACAATTATCTTTGTCTTAGAAGCTCATTCGGTGGACTCCGGTGAAGTCTAAGGAAAAGCTATCGGGGCAGTCAGCTTACATGCTAAACTGGNCTGGTGGATGCTACATACCTCTGTAAGTTGGATGCGTAAATTCGAATGTGAAAAGACCAGTGCCATCAATGTGGCCTCATAGCTCGGTTAGGTAATTGTAAGAAATCATACGTATTGAACAATACGTCCATTAAAAGATTTTTCGTTCAATAGCGGGTAACCAGTGTTCGTGGTCGTTCGGCCTTCGTACTGCCGAATGTACCGCCGTAAATTTTGACCAATACGAAACACCGGTTTCATACAAGTGGTCTTGAAACTGTATGGTGATGCTCCTCGGCTGGTTTTATTTTGAAGGATTAGATCACCGCAGCTTAAATGATCTACATTCCACTACCTAGTTTATTCAGGGCAAGTATGAAAAAATTGCTCTTTCATAAGAACCTTAAATTAAGGTATGCCAATTCATGAGCATAATCTTCCCCAAACCACAAACATAGGTAAATGAATAAACTGTTTCCAAGATACCTATGTATATTGAGAAGGTGACAAATGTGCCGTAATTCCGATTATAAGTCACCCAAGTGTTTATTTCACGTTTCCATNCGGAAAATATAGCTTTTTATTTGGAATTATCAGGAGCATGTGTTCTGTTGTTGTGAGGTCAGGCAGCATAATTCCCTGTCAATGGGATGCTCTGTGCTTTACGGTCTGAGGTTCGAAACCTTCAACAACTGCTCATTTTTAGTGAGGGACTCGCTATTGTTTCCATCAAACCACTCAGGTCACAATGCGTTGATGTGTTTCGTCACACTTGGTTCCAAAGTTTAGGTTGCCAGGTTTCAGAAGTGCACTATGATTGCTTTTGACTATGCAGTATACCTATTCTTGTTTGTAGGTGATCTGGAAAAAAGAAATTATATTTGTCTGTTTTCAGCTCGCAAAAGAGGTTTGTTCTATTGAACTAATGAACATCAGCCCCAGCGCTTGCCTTTTTGTTACAATGAGACTCGCCGAAATATGGATACCTGCATCCCAAGTATTCGGATACTGATTGCTACTAGGCTCCCAAGAGGGACTGGTTTATTTCGTTTGAGGGTTCCTTACAATCGGCATACATAAGAGAAGAAAATTTCTTCCCATTTTTGCTCTGTTTGTATGTATTCTTATTATCTTCAGTGGGCAAGAAAAGCTTAAAATTTATCAATGATAGCAAAATGGATGAGGATAACTGTCACGGAACGCTACACTTAATTGACTTTTCATCCATGAAATGCCTGTTACGGAATGCTTGATTTTACAGACAGTTATCACGAAGAGGGAATCAACAAACTGAAGAAGTTGAAAGAGGTTAGTTGACGGTGGTAGACTTCGATCATAGGACCTTACAGATTATGTGATGATGACAGACACCGCCAACCAATTCACTTACAAACAAAAAGAACAGAAGTATTGGTGGTTCTTGAAACTACGTAATTTCGAACTTTTGTCCAGAAAACTGTTTTAAGCAATATGTTCTTCATGACTAGAGGTATCCCCAAATTATACATCTGAATATTTAATTACTCGTTCCAGATTCTGCTTCAAATTACCGAACATCTCTTCTCTGGGACCTTATCAAATATGATAAGCGATAAAGTAAAAACGAATGCAAAAGATAATAAATACACCGTGAGAATATATATAGCTCCAAAGGATTTGTTCAAAGAAGCGACTTATATGTTCCACGGTCAGACATATAATCATACCAATAGCAGAGTAAAGGATACATATAAGGTTAAGTATATTCAACCCACATACAGATGAGAGTAAGTCAACTTAAGGAACCTTTCAGTAAGTCAAAAAAAGTGGATATAACCAATTTAATTGCACGAACAATTTCAGCTGTCCGGTTCAGATGCGCCAACGTTCAGGGTGCCCATTAATACTCAAATTTATAACACATTTACAAGCTCCAATTTTTCCGGGAAAACGGTATAAGAATT